GAAAACCACTAAACATGATAAATAAGAGAAAATGGAAACTCATCCATGCTGAAAAACTTAATGTTGTTGAAATGTCCATACTACCCAAAGAGATCTTAAGACTCATGCTACTCCCATCCAAATCACATTTTTTTACAGAAATAGGAAAAGAAATAATAAAATTAATATGGAACCACAAAAGACCCAGAATAGCCAAAATTGTCTGAGAAAAAAGAACCAAGCTGAACTAATCACATCTCCTGATTTCAAAATGTATTACAGAGCCAGTCAATAAAATTGTATGGACATGGGGTGAAGACAGACGTACAAAGCAATAGAACAGAAGAGAGAACACAGAAATAGACCCACAAATATATGGTCAGTGACCTTTGACAGGGGTGCCCGAAGCACACACTGAAACAGATACAGTTTCTTCAACAGGTGGTGTTGGGAAAAATCAAGATCTCTAGGCAAAAGAATGTAACACTAGACTGCTACATTATCCCACACACAAAAATCAACTCAGAATGGATGAGAGACTTTAATGTAAGACCTGAAACTGTGAAACTCTACAATAAACAAAAGGAAAAGCTTTATCACTTTGGTCTGAACAATGATTTTTTGGCTATGGTACTAAAAGCACAGGTAACACACACAAAAATAAACAAGTAGTTCCATGAGAAATTAAAAATCTTCTGCATGGGATAGAAAACAACATAATAAAAAGGAAACTGGTGGGCCGGCCGAGCGGCACGTTGGTTAACAGCTGGCTTGGGATGCCAGAGGGCCCCAGTTCGGATCCCACATATGAGGGCCAGTGGCACTGCCCTCTACAGCTAAGATGCTGAGCGGCGACTCGACCTGGAGCTGGGCTGCCGTGAATCGCCGGCGACGGCATAGGCTGCAGCCCCTGCTGCAGTGGGCTGGCTTGGGCTACCTTGTATGGCCCGCAGCCAGCGTGAGCGGCCCTCAAGCCGCCGTGAGCGGCGGTCCAGAAGCCGGCAACTGATCTGCCTCGCCTGGGAAGAGCGCAATGATGGTGCCAACTTGGGCCAGTGGGGCGGTGTCCTCCACAACTAGACTGAAGAACAAAAAAACAGCAACTTGTCTGTTCCCCTTCCCCCAATTCCCCAGCACTGTTCCCATCCCCCAATTCCCCAATGAGAATCTTTGGGGAAAAAAAAAAGGAAACTGGTGAATTGCGAGGAAATACTTGCAAAGTATATACCTGATAAAGACATTAACTTCCAAAATACATAAAGAACTTCTACAACTAATAGCAAAAACAAAACAACAATAAAAACCCATATCTGAATTTAAAATGAGCAAACAACATGAATATTCCTCCAAAGAAGACACACAAGTGGACAACAGGTACATGAAAAGAGGTCCCACATCACGAATCATCAGGGAAACACAAATCAAAACCGCAATGAGATAACACCTCCATCCCATTGAGATAGCTGTTCCAAAATAAAAAAGATAAGAGTTGGCAAAGTTATGGAGAAATTGGTGGGAGTGTAACATTGGTGCCACAGCTGTGAAAAACAGTACAGATTCTTCACATGAAAATGCCATGTGACCCAGCCACCCCACTTCTGGGCACATCCAGAAAAATTGAAGTTAAGACCTTAAGAGATGTTAGCACCACCATGTGGCAGCTCTGTTCCCAACAGCCAAGGGATGGAAACAACCAAGTGTTCATGACACTGATGGGAAGAGATGAAGATTCCATGATGACTGAATGGTCTATGGCAGGGATGGCAGGGGTGGGCAAACTGCGGCTCACGAGCCACATTGGGCTCTTTGTGTACATTATGTCTCAAAAGTTTGCCGACCCGTGGAACAGCCAATCCTGTCCTTTGAAGTTTTGTGAGACCTATAAAACAAATGAAATCACCATTACATGAATAACATCTTTTAAAAATTTTATAAATGAAACTATGAGAGTTTTATTTTCATTTTTAGTTTTACTTCAAAGCCACATGGACGTACCCAAAGAGCCACATGTGGCTCACAAGCCGCAGTTTGCCGACTCCTGGCGGCTCTTCCATCTCAACAGTTTGCCAACCCCTGGTTTGTGGTATTTGAGGACAAATGGATAAAGAAAATATGGGGTATACATACAGCACACACATACAAACATACATTATGCATGTATGTATATATACAATGTCCACATGTATACAATATACAGGAGACCCCTGGGGATTTCTGTGCCCACACTTCACCTGGAGGAGGATGAGGGCCAGAGAGAAAGGCAGGCAGCAGTGGGGAGCAGCATTCTCTGGATAAAGAAGAGGAAAGATCTGAGCCATTGAGGTTTGAAGAAGTAGGAGGTGTCTCTTTCTTGAGCTTAAGACAGTTGATCAGGAAGCTGGGACAAGACCACAGGTGTTTCTATGGGAAGGACTCGACCATCAATTTCAATGCCTGTGAGCCTGTCTCATGCACTTGGCCTGGGGATGTCCTTGTGTGGATGACAGGGTGGGCTGGTTAAGGGCGGTGATCTGCCTCCCACTCATGGTGGAGGCCGGGGGGGGGGGAAATCTCTACCTGGGTGAAGCCCCAGGAGTCTGGGGTGACATGAACAGGAACAGCTGCCAGGGGTGACTCAGGAGTGTCAGGGAGAAAAACGCTCTTTCCAAAAAATATCCAAGAACTGGCATTCCAAAGTTGTAGATAATTTAGTTACATGGACCACTCAGAAAATGTCATGACTCACAGAGCAAGAGTCATTCATTCTGAGTTCTCCTTTCATCCTTCTCGTTGCCTGGAAGGAAAGGGCCCTGCTTATGCGAGGCTGTCTCACCACTGTTCCAACACTTGCTAGTCAGCGTCAGTCTCAGTGCCTTTTACAGGCAATAGTGTTTACAATTTGATAAAATCTTTTGTTTTTATTTTATTGATTTTTGGCAGTTACCTTTGACTTATGGAGAGCTGTTGACTTCTCATGAATGGTAGTGATTTACAGTATCCTTTAAAAACTTAAGTACAGGATAAAGTAGTGTATAAAGAAATAATGATGGTGGTGGGAGAACTGAGGTAACGACCATAAGCCTAGTAGGGAAGTGAGTGAGGTAGTGGAACGTGGTCCTCCAACTCGGTGAGGCTGCTAGTTGGGTGTCAATCATCTTTTCAGTTGGATGAAGGCACAACAGCCACAAGAGGAGCGAGTGGAAGCATGCCATGAGTTCCAAGACAGCACCTTGCCGGACCCAACTCTGGGATGCCTGACTCCCTCTGCCTTCAGGATTCAACACCGGCTGCTTCTTATGGGAAGTCTCCAGGGTGGCTAGCTCTGGAGTCATCTCTCTTCCCATACACTGATCACCGTGCCCCTTTCTCTGGAACCAGCTGTGTCATCAGAGGTCAGAGAAGAGATGCCTGCTGGGGCTGAGGGAAGGGGACCTACAGCCAGTTGCAGGGCATGTGCCCCATTGAAGGGTTCACAGCTGAAACATGGGCCCAGTGTGGCCACACATTCCAATTTCTCAAGCCAAGGCAGAAATCTAAATTCTTATGTGAAATTTCACCATTTTCAATTTTCACAACAAATGTTCCCCATGCCTGGGAGCTGGATCCTGTCTCTGCACCCTCAGGTGACATGCAGGGAAGCTTCTGGGTAAAGATGGCCACCAAGCTGCAGTGCCTTCAAACCCAGGTCCTGAAAATGAGGTAACCCAAGAAAGGAAATCACCAGTAGAGTGGGTTGTGCCAGTCACATGTTTTCCCATAAGACTAGGCCCTCCTGGTGGGCAGGGAGGGGGCTGAGCCATCTGGTCCTGCCTGACCAAAGCCAACCCCAAAGGCTTGCAGGCCTGGGGCAGCACGAATGATGAGATCCAATGGGACAGGTGTCCACCCTCTGAGGAAGTGGGGAAAAATATGGGACACAGAGCAGAGATGTTCCAACAGACACACACCTGGGAGGGGGTTCCCAGGCAGGACCTGGGGAGGAGGGTCACTGTGTGTGTTTGTGGGGTGGGTAGCAGGCCTGGCAGGGCAGTACCTCCAGGCTCTGGACTTCGCTGGTGAACTGAAATTCCAGCTGGGGATGGGCTCTGACCACACACCTGCTCCAGGATGAAGAGCTATGCCTGGGATGTTGAGCTGGAAAAGCTGGGAGAGTGTAGGAAGGGTATTACAGGTAGAGCTTGGGGAGAACAAAGTCCAGGAGGTTAGATACCCACGTGGGATCCAGGCCAGGTGAGGGCTGCAACCTGCCTAGGAGAAAGGGTCAGGTCTGGGTGAACGAGGCTGTGCTCCCAGGCTGCAATGGAGGGGGACAGGGACTTTAGACACACAGAAGCTGGGGACTGAGGGAACCTTGCCTCTCTCTGAAAGGGGAAAAGTTGATCTTTGGGGTAGCCCCTGCAGGGTTTGCTCCTGCCTATAAAAGCAGCTCTGGTCTCTGGGGTATCCATCTCAGCCTTGTGTCCCTTCCTACCCCAGGGTGTCCAGAGAGGGCAAGGCAGCCCCTTGCACTGCAGGGCTGGTTGCCGGGACCTGGGCGCCCCAGGTAGACTTCCTAGGTGGGGATGCTCGGGCTCTCCTGGCCTCCGTTGTAGCGCTTCTCTGCAGCCGCTTCCGGTGTCTCTGCTTCCCTGGGAGCCTGGGACAGCGGGGGCGGCCACGCCCACAACTTCCGGGTCACCGCAGGCTGAGGCGCGGGCTCCTCGCCCTCCCCGCGCTTGCTCTCTCCCGCCCACCTCTCTCGCTCACTCCTAAGCTCTCCCCGCCTCCCCTGGATGCCTGGCCTCCTCCTCCTCGCGCCCTGCTCTCCTGAGGCTGCAGACGGCTCCAGTTGTCCTCAGGGCAGAGCGGCGGGCAGGTAGCTTTCGCGGAGGTTGCCAGTGCGGGCCCCTGGCTGTGGTCAGGATGCTTTGTACCTGCTGGCTCAAGCGGATAGCCTCCTGCTCTGCGCCACGGGGCTGCTGCACTGGCACCGCCCAGGTGGGTGAGGTCTGACCCCACGCTCCCAGTCGGCCCCGCCCCGCTGCCCCTCCCCTGACCGCCTGTGTTCCGGGACTTGGGAAAACTCCACGCGTCCAGACAGCTGACAAATTTTGGGCCTGGGCAGTCGCGCAGGGGGCGCCCCGCGGCGCACCCAGGAGTCTCGGGTCAGGGGGAGCCTCGTGAATGCAGAGGGCCAGGACATGAGGATTGGCCCTGAGGATTGGTTAGGGCGTCCATGAGGGGATCCCCAAAGTTCCAAAGGACACTTTTCCTCCCCTGCAGAACCGGGAAAAGACAGCGGCCTCACCAGGAGCTGGAAACAGAGAAAGGCCGCCTGTGCCAGAGCCTACGGAGTGTTCACCACACCCAGGGACCACTGAAGGGTAGAGGCGCAGGTGTAGATGGCCAACCGGGAATAGCTTCGGAGAGGCTCCAAGTCCTGCCAAGGATGGTAGTTCACGGGGCGGGGTAAGCTCTGAAGCGACCGTCCCCAGGGGAACTGTGAGGAGCCCGGGAAGCCCCACTCTGAAACAAGGCAAGGGGCAGAGCACTCTGCTTACAGGGTCCCAGAGCGGCCCTCCGCCCCCGTAGGGAGAAAACCATGGAGGGGCCGGCTAGTTACTGTGGGTTGCCTGGCAGTGGGGGCAGAGCTGGTAGATGCAGGACTCAGTGTGGGGAGGAGCTTGGAACTCTTAGGTTTCTGTGGCTCTAACACTCCTTGAAGGCAAGCCCCTGGGGCACGGAGCAGAGCAAACCCTGGCAGTGCCAGTGCGCACTGACGCCCGGCTCCTCTTGGTGTTCCATGTGGCATTGGCAGCAACAGCCCAGGTTGGGGTTTGGGCCCTCAGAGAAGCACTGGTCCACACCCCAGGCTTTCCAAAAGGCAGAGAAGAGGACCCTGGTGGCAGCCTCTTCTACAATGTCATGGTCTATGCTAGAGACCTGCACCCGAGGCCCAATGCCCGCCTGGTGATGTCAGGGGCCATAGTGGAGTGGTACTGTAAGTCCCTTGTGGAGCCCCTGCTTGGGACCACCTCTAATTTGGAGACTTTGCGGGCCTGACTGAAGCCTCCTTCATGGCGCTCAGCAACTGCTGAGGCTGGTGAGCATGCACTTCTCCCACTCCTTTCTGTCAATGGTGCTTGCCTGGGCCTCAGACGCCAGTTACCTGGAATCCCCTTGGAAGGCAAGGCCTGCCTGCACTAGGTTATTCTCTGCTTAGGGAAGACTGAGCATCTACTCAAGGAGCTGCCTAAAAGTGATGATATTTTTATGGGTGGGAGAGGGGTGATTTATTGAGAGGGAGAGCCAGGGTCTTCCAAGTGCTAATTAAGTAGTCAACCCAAGTGTGCCTCCTTCAGGTCTGCAGGCCTAGGTCTTGTCTTGCATCCATGTGTGTGTATATGTCCGGGAGCCTGTGCACATGTGTTTTGGAATGTTGCTGTGTACTTGTTCCTTGGTACCTGTGCACCAGTAAGCATGTGAATTGTGAGTCTTGTGCACGTGTGTATCTGTAGGTTCCTGCTAATTCCTGTGTCACTGTTGAGTGTGTGACCCTGTGCATTTTAGTCTGTGTGATGTGTGTTTGTGGGGCAGATGTACTGGCAGTGGGTCTTCTTGTTTCTGTGTGTGGATGGTGCCAGCCCAGGGGGAAGGTCATGGTGCTGAAAAACCCAGTTATTCCTCTGCCGCCTTACTGACTGGGAGCCATGGTTTTTATGGTGTGGCTTTTAATGCAGGTGTTACCAGGTTGTGATGATTTTCTTGGCTCTTGTCTTCTGGAGGAAAATAATTCAGCCAAGAGACAGCATTTTGTGCAGGTATAGGGTAGTAAGAAGTTTATTAGTACAGGCAGATACAACTCTAAGATGTGGAGGGGACCTATCCCAAGAGAGGGAAAGGCTTCTCCTTATATTGTATGAAGGCTTTTATTTCTGTGGATAGAATTGCCTTTCCTTCTCTCTTCTCCTTATCTCTCTCTCTCTCCTGCTGAGGTGCCCAGTCCTCCCTTTTGCTTCTCAAGGTAGTTTCTGTCAATTTTCTATTTATGGTTTGTTTGAGAAGGTCACTAAAATGGTCCTGATAAGCAGGATGTATGCTCTGATAAGCGGGATATCTTCCTACTCTGGTTCTAACAATACATCCCTTTGATTTAGGAGCATGTGAGAGCCTGGAGTCCTGCGGGCCAGTGAGGCTTTGGTGCCTTTAGTGGGATAAGCCACAAGGGGTCTGGACCCAAGTAGGAGCTGCAGCAAGGGGTTTTCTAACTGAGGCTGGGTCTCTCCTTCTCCTGTTATTTCTGTTTCTCTACTCACCTTATCATTTCCCCCTCAAGAGTTGAGACCCTGAACTCTCTTAGGAAAGGGGACAGTGTGTCTTTTCTGTTTCTACGTTTTACTGAAAGGGGGCAATGTCATAGTCAGGGTCTCATCCTCTTGCTCTCTGTCAGGAGAAAGGAGGTGTTGTTCCTGGACTTTTGGTAGGTGGGAGGTGAAAGCTGCAAGTGACAGTGTGAAGAGGACTGATATAAATCAGACTTCTATTTCTGGAGGGACAGCTTGGAATCCCTGGAGGACCATCATTTTTAAGTGGAACTGTTGTAATCTGAAAAAGATAAATTTGACAAGTAGATTAAAAAGACATGGGACAAATAGCAGTAGAAGCAATATACAATCTACCAAGTCATGGAAGGTAGAGTGTAACCACCTGACAGATGGAGTCAGTTGTTGGATGTTCATTTGCAGAATAATGAAGCTATTCAGCCTGATTCTATATCTTTTTAATTTCTTCTACTTGACTGGTGGCATTTATATAAGGGCAGCAAGTCTTATTAATTACTGCACATATTCCCTCTTGTTCAGCTAAGTACTCAAGGGCTAGTCAGTTGTGAAAGAAAACATTCGCAAGTGAATTGAGGGACCACCAGAGATTCTGGAGGGTGTCTCCAATGTCTTGAGCTAGGGTGGCTATGAAGTTTGTTAGGTTGGTTACAGTAGCCTCATGATAGACAGATCCTCCCTAAGGGGCTGCTAGACTGACAGCAGCCCCAATACCAGCTAGAATGACTCCTGTGGCCCATTTGTCTCCATGGCAAATGATGTTTTGAACAGTGATTGATATGCCCCAAGGGCCTAAAACCCCTGAGGTACATTGTTCTTCAAACCGAGACTTGGGTAACCAGGGTGATAGAAGAGTGGCGGTAGACCCTGTCTGGTGACTTTTCATTGGGTAGTTCATTTTGAGGAGGACCACAGAGAAATAAATATCCAGGGCAATCTAAGCTTGATGTGGAAAGGTGAAGTTACAGAATGTGGTCAGACCTGGTCCCCCAAAAGGGGCTACATTGCATTGGGGAGATAAAAGGCCATCCCTCAGCCCAGCATCCCTGGGCCCCATTGGTACTCATCCTGCTCTTGGAGGTAGGTGGTAAAGTTTCATAGATGTTGTTGCCTGTCCCTCCCAGTATGTGCACCGATTCCTGGGACTCATATTTTGTTCACCACAGTGAGGTTTGTGACTAGCTGAACACCAGAAAATGGTATTTGGAGTGCCCCTTTTAGAAATGTCAAATGTAATGAGATAATTGAAGGACTGAACTGATGAGAGGTAGCCTTCCTCTCAATATGTGCAGAAGTGACAAGGGCTAGATGTGGATGTACAGTTGAGGGTTCTGACCCTAGTTTTATGAGACCAATTAATTAACTGGTGGGGTGAGGTGAATGCAGCCCAGTCATGTAGCTGAGGGGTCTAACCTGACAACCAAGATAGTGCTGTTGGGGAAATCCTTGGGGACCCCTGAAAGAAAGGTAAATCTGAGATTAAAATAGGCAGGCTGAAACTGAGGAGAGAAGGGGTGTTTCTGGGCTGCATGTGGCAGATCCAGCAGACAGAGAGGCCATTTCCCTTTGCAGTTATGTTGAAAAACTGTACAAGGGTGTTAGTCTTCCATTCCCCCCAAAGAGGCTGGAAATGTAATAGAACTAGGAGGATGAATATCATGTTGACAATTTAGTCTAAGTGTATGAGGAATAATTATTTAGTGGGGAGGGATGTCCCAGGAGGGACGTAGGTGGGAAAAATAAGAATAAGGATTAAGAGAAAAACCAGCCAATAGATAGCAGTCGGGGGTGAGTCATCAGTACTTAGTGGCACTTTCTTGAATAGTAACTTGAGGCTCGCAGGAGTACTGAGATCCAGTTGGCAAGTCTCCTTCATCACCTTTCCAGGGTTTTATTCGGGAGTGATGAATCCAGCTAGAGACTCCTGGCACCTTGACAACTGTAGGAGTAGAAAGTAACACAGTGGAGGGGCCCTTCCAAGTGGGGCTCAGTTGGGATGGGGGGCACCAACTTTCCAAGACCTGAGGAGTATCTGGCTGCCAGGTGGGTACTGGGTTGGTGACTGTGGGCTCTGCCCTGCAGGCAAGGGCAGAGCCTTTTGTGCATAGGCCCTGAGGGCTTCCTGGAACTTCCCTCGAGAGGTGACATAGTGCAGGAGGCTTGTAGCCTCTGAATCTAAGAGCATGTCAGATGAGAGGAAGGCCCTCCTACACAGAGCCTCATAAGGGCTGAGCTGTAGGGAAGCCTGCGGACATAGTCACACCTGCAACAAAGCTATTGCTAGGAGCTCAAGCCATGGTTGACAGGCTTCTTCTTCTTTTTTTTTTTTTTTAGCTGAGCCATCCTGCCACCTGTTGGCAGCTCAGTGGCAACTCAGCTGGGGCCGGGCCTTGAATCGCTGTTGCTCAGCTCGCACTCTTGGACAGGCTTCTTGACAGAATTTCTTTGGATGTTCCTAAGGGTTTAGTTTGCTTTTTTCTACCCTGAGGGAGCTCTGAGGTCTCCATGAGGAATGTAAAAATCTCTTGTCCCTAGGGCCTTAGCCACCTGTTGGGTAATATATAAGGCAAAAGCAGGCCAGTTGTCACTTTGTAAGGATGGGGTAGGCCAAACCTAGGAAGGATTTTCTTTAGCAGTTGCTTGGAAACCTCTTGGGCTCTCTCTGTCCAGGTGGGAAATGCCTCTACCCGCCCGGTGAAGGCATCAATAAATACCAAGAGATATTAAATCCTTTACATTGAATTAATGGAGTAAAATCTAGTAATTGCCAGTCCTCCCCTGAGTAGCTTCCCAGATGCTGACCAGGCTGTATGAGCAGGAGAGGCTGATTCCCCTGGGGGTGGTTGTAAGTACAAAGCACACAGGCATGACATAGCTGGTTAACTGTCTTATATATGCCTTTTCCAGTGAACATTTTTCTGCAGATTTGGTGTATATTATCCCGCCCAATATGGCAGGGATCATGACATCTGTTAATGACTTTCCACTGGAGGGACCGTGAAAGGAGTAGCCTTTGATTCAGCTTATACAACCTCTGAGGGTTCACGGTGTCTCCCCTCTGAATGGCCCAGTTTTTCTCTTCTGAGGTCTATGTTGGGGAAAGAGTGGGGCCCGGTAAAGAAGGAATAAGGTCCCCTTAAGTTTTGCCTTATAGAGTGTGGCCTTGACTGCCTGATCTGCCTGATGGTTTCCCTGAGCTATTTAATCCTGTACCTTTTGTTGTCCCTGACAGTGGATAACTGCCACCTCCTTGGGCCGGTGTTGGCCTCTAGTGGGATAATAGCTGAGGTCCGTATTTTATGGGAGGGTCTTTGAGAGTGAGGAATCCTCCTTCTTTCCAGATAGCTGCATGGGCATGGAGCACTAAGAAAGCATATTTAGAGTCTGTGTAGATACTAACCCTTTTGTTTCTTCCAAACTGTAAAGCCCTAGTTAGAGGGATTAATTCAGTTAATTAAGCCAAAGTCCCAGAGGGCAATGCTTTGGCCTCTGTGGTTTTAAATGGGGTGACTATGGTATATCCTGCATGCCCAACTTCTTCTCTTACTAAGCTGCTACCATAAGTAAACCAAGTCTCATTTGAATTTTCTGGTGGCTGATCCTTTACACCTCTCCTGTTGACATAAGTCAGGTGGGTGGTTTTTTCATAGGAGTGTATTGGGGTGCCTCTTCTGGGCAAGGTAGTAAGGTGGTGCACCTTTGGACAGTAATGTCAGGAGTTTCTAACAGCAGGACCTGGCCTTTTAATAACCTGCTGTCTGTC